TTCAATTCCAGATTTTTCTTGAAAGCGGAGTTGAGGATTATCAGATCAACCATGATCCCATTGAATGGTGGAGTAGTGAAAGTTGGATGGGCTGAATAGACTACTTAAAAAAAAACCAAAAGAACTGCAGATGCTGTTCTGAGGAAGGGTCACCGGACCCGAAACGTTAACACTGTTTTCTCCTCCACAGATGTTGCCAGACCCGCTGAGCTTTTCCAGCAACTTTGTTTTTGTTCCTGAATAGACTACTTCTTTGTCTTATGTAATTGTGAATTTAAATTACACCATCTGTCACCGTAGGATTCGAACCCATGTCCCCTGAGCATTAACTCAAGGTTCATGATTGTCAATCCAGAGCCACAACCAGCTCCCCTTTTACCAGTTTGTTCTTCAAAGTTTGAAGATGAAACGTACGATGGTGGACAGTGAAGCAAGGGACTTGTCACTGGGGTACTCTATGCCAATACAGATGGTACCAAAAACACTGTTCCTGTTTGTGATAGACGAGTCTGAGAAGCCACATTTTTTTGTGTATGTCAAGAGACTTCTAACTAATTATAAGGCTAACAAAACCACCTCGATGTCCTTACAGCACTTTTGAGGTGTGGATCAGGAAAGCAGACAAAATAAATCAATGGAAGAAAAGGAAAGTGACCACAATGATAACCCTGAAGAGTTGCCTGCTCACTCATCCTGAACAAAGGCCATGAAGATGCTCAGGATTTCAAACTACAGGACAAAAACGTGGAAAATATGTTTGACTGCTTGACGACATGATGGATTCATCTGATGACAGCATGCTCAGCAGAAAAGGGTTACTTCCAGAGCTAACTCCTAATGTCTTTCAATGCCTTTTACTGTATAAAGTCTCATCATTGTAAACAAATTGAAAAATAAAGTCATTTTTTCTGTATTGCTATGTTTCCATTTCTTTTTCTCCAGCATGGACTTATTGTGATTTTACTGTATTTTTCTCTCTGCCTCTTCCTCCCTTCCCTCTACCTCCCTTCCCCCTTCCCTCTTCCTCCCTTCCCT